TATTGTAACAAATGTATTATTTTATAATTAATTTATATAAAAAAAATAAAATTAATTAATTAAAATTATTTACATAAAATAATATTAAAATAAAATTTAATTATTATTATTACATATAAAAAAATAGTTAAATCCCCAATTTGATCTTAAACTATTGTACAGACCTCTAATTTGGTTCATGAACTAAAAAAATCATTGATATGATCTCTAAACTATTGTACATACCCCAATTGGGTCCATACTATTTATTAATTTATCTCAAATTGGTCATTTCGTACAAAAACAAACTAACGTGTCTTGTTATTAACGTGACATGTGACCATTAAGTTATTATTTTTTACCATTAAGTTACTGTTTTTCACCATTAAGACATGAACACGTCAACTATTTTTTGTACAAAATAATCAATTTAAGATAAATTGGTAAATAATATGGACCAAATTGGAGATCTATACAATAGTTCAAAGATCAAATCATGGATTTTTTTAATTCAGGGAACAAATCGAGGGCCTACACAATAATTCAAAAACCAAATTAAAATTTCAACCTAAAAAAATATATTTATTATACTTTTATCTTATATATAACAAATCTATTGATATGATAATAAGCAGTAGACCACAAATTCGGATTGATGAGGCCCAGTGGGCTCAGACGAAAGAGAGAGTAGAAGCAGGAGGTGGGCCACCCTTGTCGTTGTTAACGTGTCAGTGAGCCTTTTTCAGAAATCAGCAAGTGGACCATATTTCCCTTTCCCGACCACAGTGGCCCAGCTTGTACAAGTCACGATCTACCCTATGGGCTTCATAAGGACTTTTTATCTTCCATGTCAGTTTTGGTAGGGGCCTAGGAACAGAGGAAGATTAGATTCTACTCCTCGTGCTTTTCCCTTTTATTATTATTTTTTTTGATTGAGTTGTTCGAATAAAATAGGGTTGTTAATGAGTCGCATTGAGTTCAATGCTTAAGTGTCAATGTTTAATTTTATCTTAAAAATTTGAGTTTGAATTTAGTTCTTATTCAAATCAAACTTTTGAATTTCGATAGTTTTTTTTGCAAAACTTAAGTGTTTGAGTATAATTAAATCAAGAGTTTGATTCTTACCAACAATTTAAAAAATTAAATCCTTCATCTAAAAATTCTCCAATATTTAACGAAAAAAAATATTCATCTCATATTCAAATTCATGAGTGTTCAAGTAAGCTTGAATTTATTTATAAATTTAAATTAATGAGTACTTAAACTTAAATTTGAATTTTTTTTAATTTTAAAATGTTTTAATAATTAATTATGTAACTATAATTTTTTTATATATTTTAAAATATTATAATACCAAAAGTTTGAACATATTAAGTTGAGCAATAAAAAATAATTATAAATTCTATTTGAATATTTTTATTAATAATTATAACTTAAAATATAAAATTTAGTTGAGTTACTTTTTTTTCTAATCTTTTTAAGTTTTTAAATTATAATATATTTAAATTTAATAAATAAATATATAATATAATTTTTAATTTTTAATTAAATACTCATCACTCATGAGAAATTATAAAAATTTAAACACAAAGTAAAGTAAGCTTTTTTCATCAAATTCAATATTCATCTCAAGTTCAACTTATTTACTAAATAAGTTAAACTTAACTTGAGTAACTTACTAATTATCCACGAAATAATCTATTCATTAACAATCATTTCAATTTAACTTTCTTACATAACTTTTACTAAACTCTTTTTAGGCACGAATGATAATTAAAATTTTTTTAGCTCTCTATCGATCAAGAGTGAAAGAGGTAAAATCATAGCACTTGGATGAAAAAAGAGAAGAACCTACCAACCAAAAAAAAAAAAAAGGCATAAATATATTTCAGACGCTGCCTAATTGCAAGATAGGAAATGCCTGAGTAAAGGAGAGGGTAACTCAACGTTAAAGTCATGATCTTATGAATTCCTTTTGTTCTCTCCAAAACCATAAAATGCAGAAAAATCATTCAGACTGAGAAAGAAAACAGGGGCTACGACACAGGGAAGAAACCCGTTTTCCTGCTTCCAACTATAACAAGTCTCATTCTCTCTTGATGAAATCACCATTGTCATCATCTCGGTAATTTCCATCCACTGTATCATTTTGGTCAGAACCTTCACGTGCCTTTTCCATGTTATTTCCGCTGCTGTCACATTGATCACCCTTGCCAAACTCGAAATCAGCACCTCCTTCCAGTCCACTGCCTTTGCCGGTGCCTGCGTAATTATTGCCAACACCACCAGCAACATCAGCATAAGCATTTCCATCAGGATTGTTACTGTCTGTTGCATAGTTGGTGTTACTTCCATAGCCACCATCACCAAAATTACCACTATAATTTCCCTGGCTTCCAAAGGTATTGGCAGCAGCACCACCACCACCATAACCAGCATTGCCTCCATAATTTCCACTAGGAGGACCATAGTTTCCACCGCCAAAGTTACCTCCAAAGCCTCCAGCAGAACCACCGTAGTTGGGATTAAAGCCTCCACCTCCAAAGTTACGAGGAGCTCTCTCAGTTGCATAGTTCACCCTTATATTACGGCCATGAAGAGCCTGTGAAAGTTTTGAAAATGTAACGACTAGCCAACAAAAAACAATAAGTTCAGGCTTTAAAGAGTTAATAAATAAAGAGGATGGTGTAAAAAAACATTTTTACATGGTTCAACTCAAGATCCACTCTGGGGATCACTGATTTGTGTCTCTATTTGTACTAATTACAGTGCCCCCCCCCCCAAAAAAAAAAATGTTAGTGAAAGTTCAAAATAAATTCCACCTAACGTAAAAACAATTTTATAGACCAGAGAAAACAGACACATCTAAATGAAAGGGTATCTTACTTTGAAGTCCAAGTTCTAATTTGAAATGCTATGATGTTTTCTCATTCATTTCCAAGAATTTTAATATAGAGTACCGAAGCAGAGGTTATTTTGAAAGCGGCATGGGCATGTAAGATTTAAAACATGGTAACACAAATTTCCAGGCGTCAAATAGACAAAGTGGTACTCTGAGCATAATGATATAAAAATGATTTTCAGGTCTAGAGACAAAGATGTGCTAAAAATACATAAAGGTAGTCTCAAACTTTGAAATTTCCACAATTAAAATCCTTGGGGAAAAATAACAGACTCATTCACCCAAGTTAAAGGAGAACAATGATTTTCAGATCAATGATACCTAAAGGCTCAATAAAACTTTCCAATTTCCAAACTTCAAATTCTTAAAGATAGAGGATAGACGAATCATTCAGGTTCTAGGAGAACCAATAAAGATAAGAGGAAAGCAAAGAAAAAAAATAGCAGCAAAGAATATTGGGTAATTTGTAGATATGAGTTATGCTGTTAATGAAAATTGCTTGCCTTTTTCCAAAAAAAAAAAAAAAAGGGAAAAAATAGAAAGAAAAAGAAAAAGAAAAAGAAAAAGAGGGTAATCCAACATTTTAATTCTTACACGTGAACTAAGTGAAAACACCCTGAATATAGTCTTGCAACTCCCTTCTTCACTTAGCAATACACTCAAGCATGATAGCATACTTATTAAAAACTTAAGGAGGTACAGGTGTAATGCAAAGTCAGTATCGGCATACAATTTGATATAGCACCCACACCACACTAGCTGCTATTTTCTTAAAATTGAAAGAAAATAGTTTTACCTGTCCATCCAAGGCCTGGATAGCAGAAGATGCCTCCTCACTGCTAGTATAAGTTACAAAACCAAATCCCCTGGACCTACCAGTCTCCCGATCCACAATTACTCTTGCTGCAGCAGAAATCAACTCAATCAGCACATATTATCAAAACTAAAACCACCAAAGCCTTCACAACCCCAATCTCAATAGATTCTGCAGAGGAAACACAGGAATGGATTCCCAATCACTTTCACCATCCACATCCACATCCACTCACCTCAACAATCACGCATATACACAGACTTAGCAATAGAACTTGAAAGTGTGTCCATGTTCACATTACTTCTAGTATCTTATCAATCTAATTAATTTTCAATTCATAAATTCCATTTAGAAGCACATATTAAGTAATGTAAATGGCCCCGTACTTCTAAGCACACTAGGAAATTCTCTTAAACCTCACAGGCAATACACTGTTAATTTAGATATCAATATATCATATACCTTCAATGACATCACCATATTTGCTAAAAGCTTCTTTCAGCTGATAATCGTCTGTACCGTATGAAAGACCTGCAATACCAAGTACAAGGAATCTCAGCACAAAACGCAAAAATTGTTTTTAGACTAAAAAATCAAAAGGGTATATGCATTCACCTCCAACAAAGAGTTTCGATGATGCCATGGACGAAAAGCACCGAATGGCTTGAAAGATGGAAGCTTTCGACTTCGACGACGACAATTCAGCATTGATTATCTGATTGCTAGCAGTTTGTCTGAGTATATTTCCAACTTTACTAAGGAAAGCCATTGCAACAGCTACCCAAAACCAAAGTGGAATCAGAAACAAAAGGAATGAGCTTCAACCAATTCTGTGAAATACAAAGCATCTAATACTAGATCGATAAACTTAAATCAATAATTTTACGACGGACTAATTTCTTACCTGAAAATTCTTTCCGGCGAACTGTATGGACTGGGAAGAAAAAAGACGAAATAGAAAGAGAAGAAAGGAAATGAGAACCACAGCCTTCTGTAAAACCCTAGCAAAGGAGAGCAAGATTTATCGGTCCTAGGGCCTGGGCAAATAGTTGGTTAACCGAATGGACAATTAAAAACCGATTGAAATTAACCAAATGGTTGGATATAATTGGTTTTGGTTTTTTAGTTTTAATTATAATTGAAAAAATTTGGGTTAATTTTTGTTAGATGGTTTGAAAATTAAAAATCAAACATACAACTGAAAAATAAATTTTTATATTAACAATAAATAAACCGTAGTTATTTCAAGTTTTAATTTATAAATTATGTTGTAATTTAGAATTTAAATTTAAAATATATTTAAAAATCAAAAAATAAAATTTAAAATTTAGATCTTATTGTTGTGTGTCCATCTCTTTTTATCTTATTTTTATGTTTGATATTCTCTCTATTT